AGTGAGATTAAAGCAGAGTACAAGAGCTTCGATTTCAAGGGCAAAGAGCACATCTTCAGGGAAGGATCAATGCCCATCGTGTTGCTCAGGGCAGGATTAATGGCGTAATACTTCATCAGGATGCCATTAATTACCTTGCAGAACAAGATGTGTCTCTGGTGTCCTTCCGTTTTGTGCCTGTTATTGCCAAGCCCAATTAGAGGAGTTTCAGTTCTTCCTGTATTTCAGTAGTGAAGTTAATTGCTCTTTTTGGCACTTGTCCTTTTGTTTGATTTCGACACTCTAGAAAGAGATCCCTATTGTTGCCGGTCTACATTAATGGGAACAAATGTTCTCACCATGTTTGGGCTTTCTTTGCTATTAGTCAATACTCGTTACTATTGGGAAGTTGCAGGATTATTATTATTTTTTAATTATCATGCTATCTTAACATGTTTGGTTTTTCTTTGCTGTACTTGAGTACTTAATAGTAGGAACCATCTCTGAACTACTGTATATTTCAACCTGTTTTTTTTCCCGAGACTAACTTTATGGGACGACAAATTTGTTTCTGGGGAAGTTGTTAGAATGGTGATTGGGACTCCATTATTACACCCGAACTTTTCTAAACCCACAGAAAGAAAAAAAAAAGAGAAGAAAAAGAGAAAGAAAGACCCTTTTTAACAAGGATGTTCTTGTCACCCATTATGGTTTTGAGTGAGTACTGCGGCTTTAGGAAGAGAGAGTGTTGTGATAAATGAATCTGTGTGTATTTGTGATTCTATGAACAAAAATGATAATTGAAGGTGTGAATCTGTGTATTTGGATCCTATGAACAAAAAAGATGATAATTGAATGCGTGTTTGGGATCGTATGAAAAGAAGTCATTTTTGGGTAGTGTTGGCAGTTCATCGGCAGTTCTTGCTGGATCACCACCATCACCTGTGGTTGGATTAATGAAACGACAACGGTGCATTGTAAGTAGGGTTTTAAACCCCATCCGTGCATTGTAAGTAGGGTATCACAGATCACCCTGCTTCTGATTGGAATATCTATGTCACAAGATTAGACCGTTGGAGAAAGCCAGCAATATTTGAGAACTGTGATATTTGTTACGTGGCAATCCGTGTATAGAGTAGCTGGATTTTTTATTTTTAAAATTTTTAAAATGGGTTAAATAGCATTACTCCAAAATTAAATAATGAAAATTAAGTGAAATGAAAATTGTAAATTAATTTTTTAAAATTTTATATATTCAACATTTAGGCTTTTTGTTTGGATGTAAAATATTTTTTAAAAATTATTTTTTTATTTTAATTTTTGGTGTTTTGATTGCTAAAATATTTTCAACGAACTATTTTATGAACTATATGAACTAGATCTCAACCTCGACCTAAGCTTTTGCAAAACACCAAAATATATAAAAAGAATAAAATATTTTACCTAAAAAAGAAAATATTTTACATCAAAACAAATTGAGCCATGTTTTTTTTTTTTCCCTTTCAAAATCTTTATACTAAATTTCTTTCAAAATCTTCATAAATGTGTAAAATCATTAGAGATGTTCAATGAAACTAGGTTGCTCAAAGACCGAACAACATTTGTATTATTATTGATCAAATACAAGGAGAAGTGGAGAAGAAAGAGCAAAATTGAAATATAATCAAATTCATAAATCCAATAATAATTCGTGCAAAAATTTATGAAGAAAGTGCATGCATTTAAAATTCAAACAGTGGCCAAATCAATCCCCACTGCAAGTCTGCAAACATGCAAAGATGAATCCATTGTGTACAGTACTACATTAGTTTTCAATATACATAAAAATCCAATCCGAAAAGGTAATATTCAAATCTCCAAAAGTTCCATGCGCTTTGCATTAATCAAAATCATAACATATTGAATTTGTAAGAGCTGAAGATACAAGAAGATAATATGCCACAGTTGATTTATCGATCACGCAACAAGTAGAATATATTAATCAACAAATGACACTCGATCAACAGTACTACCTTCAAAAATTATCAGCCAACATACGCGAGTTAACCCCTTCTTAATTGCTAGTGCGAAGGACGAAAATTGATTTATTGATAGAAGATATCCAGCAGATACTCTCATAGGTATACTGGAAGGCGGATGATAACCACTGATAGGAAAATAACGTGCCTTTTTTTTTATCCATGAGGGGAAACGAAACATATGAGCAGGATGAAGGCATGAAAACAAAGGTAGTTATATTGGAGGAATGTTGCAACAGACAACTTTCGCACCGTTTTGTATGATATGAAAGTAGGCGAGAAAGGGCCAGCTAGGGAAGAAGATGGACTGACCTTCCCCGAGCTCCTTCCTGGCTAGCTGTTTTCTTCATCTAGAAGGCCCCTTCTCCCCTACTTTCATCTCCCTAACTAGTGGTCTTCTACCCCTAGTGGAGTTCTCACTCTTCTTTCTCTGATGTCATCTCCTCAGGTAATCGGGGATGTGAACTTGCAGACGGATCCTGTCATTGAACCAGAAAAATGTCCAGATAGACTTGGGTAGGAAACCCCTCCTGTTGAAGGTCAATCTCATGATGTTAACCTTAATGAAAGAAAGGCAAGGGAAACAAGTTGCAATGGATGAGGAAGTTTATGAAGACCTTGAGAAAGGCTCAGATTCAGATGTAAAGCTCCAAAACAATTTGCTGAGGCTCCAGGTGTACGAGTTGAAGAAACAATTAAATGACTCGAGTCATCGATTTGGATCTCAAGGTGGTAGCAACGCGGGTGGTTGTGAAAGGCGGTCGAGATCTAGGAGAAGTATCTCAAGATCTAAATCTCGTCTGCCACTTCCAGCTAATAGTGGACACCGTCGCAACCTGACCCAGATATGGTTTTTACATTTGAAGGCCAAGGCTTGTGTGTCGACGCAGTGAAAAATTGTGGGTGATCCCAACAATTCATCTCCCCTTCTGTTGTCAATAGTGATAAAGGGGCTAAATGGCAACTGGGAGGATTGCAGAGTGGTACTTTGTGGATGGAAAGCTCCCATACAATATTGTCAATTCGATCTCTCTATAACTCTGGAGAAACGAAGGTCTTATTAAGGTTCTGAACAACGATTTGGTGCTTAGAATCGTGTGCGTTATTCTAGATAGGCACTTGGTGCTCGGGAAGAGGGTTATGGGAATGTGGCTTGTAAAGTACGACTTGGTGATGGTGCTAGTTTGGCTTAGATTCTTTGGTCTTCCCCTTGAGCACTGGAATGAAGGTGGCTCGAGTCATGTGGCCAGTGTCGTTGGAACTTCGTTACATGTTGAATATAATACCTCAGCGAAGAAGAAAATTAGTTATGCTCGGGTCTGTATCAAAATCGATGTGAGTAATGACATCCGATCCACTGTTCCTCTACGGATATCTGATGACAAGTGTATTCAGGTTAGAGCCAAGTCTCAAGGGCATCCACTCAAATGCAATGACTACAATGTTTCCGGTCACTCTAATGCTACTCGCGGTGCCTTGCATGCCGCAGCTTCTAAGCAAGGAACAGAGAGGCATATGGGTAAAATCATTGAAGATAACAAGAATAAGGAGTAGACGATGGTCAATCACAAAGGGAAAGCCCAACAGGGGGAGCGTTCTTATTCCTGAACACCATGGTCCAGGTGATTATGATGCTGAGATTCCGAAAGATGGTAGTAAGGAAATGGAAGATATGAGTAGATATCCTGAAACACTTCAAAATGTCTTAGGAGCAGCCTCTATGATAAAAAGGATAAGGAGTCTAGGGATCACTATTATAAGAGCTCCCAATATGTAACAGTGGATGCAATCCTTCTAGTAGATTTCCAACTTTCTTTAAAGACATGGAAGAGGGTAAGTGGTCTACTCAAAACTCCACTTTGGAGGTTAGGAGAAAGGTCTCCCTTGGTCAAGATAAGGTTGAGGCTTATGCCAAAGAACATCAAGTGAGTAGGCATGATGTGATGTAGGATAAGGACAACCTCAAACAATTGAAAACAAATAAGAATTTTGGGTTGAAAGTCAGAGAAACAGATTATGGTTCAAGATGTGTTAGTAGAGATAAAGGATTTGAGAGTAACAAATAAAAAATAAAAAAAAAATACTGGAATCACACCAACAAGTCTAGGCATCAAACCTAGAGAAGGCGTCACATCCTTATATCTTGTAATCTTGGTGACTCAATCCATGAAGAATAAAAATGTTTTTGAAAGCATTCTGTGAGTGTAGCTCATGACCTTTGGATTACCCCATAATTGAGGTAATCCACTTGACTCTATAGCTTAATAATAGTAATCACCCCATGATTGAGGTAATCAATGTTTAGACTCTATGATTACCCATAATCGAGGTAATCAATATGACACTAACATAATAAAGTAATTACTATTAACTGATGCAATTTGATCATAATAAATGCAAGTTACCATAATTATGAAATTTGATCATAATTGATGCAAGTTACCATAATTATGACATTTGATCATAATTGATGCGAGTTACCATAATTATCCAATTTGACCAAACACCCCAATTATCGAGATTCCAAGTGGACCCCATCATCTAGCATATGCCAAATTAAGACTTGAGCCTTAGAACCCTCCTTGCCACACCTTTTATACAATGTAAAAGGCTGCTGCTACTGTTTTCTATCAAGGCGTCAAGCCAGGAGAGATCTAAAGAGACTTGCGAGGTGTCGTAGCGATAATCGCAGGGTTGAGGGCAATCCCTCCTTTCTCTAATGTATTGTGGTGCTCTTTCCTTACATTGATTTTGCATGATGATTGTTTTTTGGAATATTAGGGGTCTCAATGACCCTAATAAGCAAGCTAACGCCAGGAAATTTAAAGTAGCACAAGCTATCCTTGATTGCCTTGTTGAAAAAAAAAAAGAAAAAAAAAAAGAAGAAGAAGAAGAAGAAGAAGAAGAAGAAGAAAGAGAGAGAGAGAGAGAGATGAAGCTTTTTAAGGAGATAACGTGGGAGTTAATTTTTGCTTTGAATTTGATATTCGGATCCAAGCAATAATAGATAATTAAAGCATTAACTAAAAATAATGGAAGTGTGAAGCCTGCCAATGAAAAAAAGAAAAAAATAAATTTGAGTCTAAATTTTATATTTAATTTAGTAAGTGTATAATTAGAATATTTAGTGACTATGATTTAAATTTTAAAAAAAAAATTGTAAGTAGAAGTTATTGGTCCTAACAAAATTTATAGAATTTATTTGTGTTTTATTAAAAAAAAAAAAAAAAAAAAAAAAAAAAAAAAAAAAAAAGGTACTGTAGGATATATGTGTATTTTTATTCGTATGAAGCTAACGGATATAAATGGGTCCCTAAAAAAACCCTGCAATTCTAGGGTTTTGTAAAGCACAAAGAGAGCGGTGATCTCTTCCTCGCATTTTCTCTAGTAGAAAGAAAATGGTAATCTCTTGCTCGAAATCACAAGATAAGGGTTTAATTTGTTGATTAATCTTTGTGTTGTTTCAAGCAAAGCAACCCATTAGAAGAAAATGTCAGACTTTCTGCCTCCAGATGTGTTGATCGATATCATCGCTAGACTACCCATCAAGACCATCGCCCAATGCGCCTGTGTCTGCAAATCGTGGTACTCTCTGGTCACAGGCCCTAGTTTCATCACCACACACCTCAATAGACATACTCTTTCTGCCAACAACAACAACAACCAGCTTATACTAGTTCGAAGCTACTCTGATTGCAGCTCTGAAGCACGATACACTATAGGTTGCGATAACAAAAAGTTCCGTGAGTATACAAAGCTAGGGTTTCCCTTCAAGAGCTTCCCAAACAAGAATTTTAGGGTAATTGGTTGCTGCAATGGTCTCATTTGCCTTTCCGATGATTTGTCCAAGTACACGGAGGACCTGCATCTATGGAACCCGTTGATTCAAAATCTGATAACACTCCCGGCCCCAGTTCGAGTCACCTTTCAATCACATGGTCCATTTATGCATAGCATTGGGTTCGGTTTTGATCCACTCACACATGATTTCAAGGTGGTGAGGATTGTGTATCTCCAACAAGATGGATCTACGGTTTTGAAAACTCCACCGGAGGTTGACATTTTCACTCTGAGCACCGGCACTTGGCGGAATATCGGCCATTTGGATCTTCTTCCATATGTCATCGAGAAGGAACGTGCTCCCCAGGTTTATGTGAAAGGGGCTGCACATTGGATTGCAACAGATACGAGGGATCAAAGCTTGATTTTGTCCTTCAACATGGGTTATGAGGCATTTGACAAGATTATGATGCCTGCTAACATGGGTGGTAAGGAAGGATTGCTAGATGTTCGTGTTGCCAAGTTTCAAGAATCACTCTCTCTAATTGAGCATCACAGTATTCAGAATGGGGAGAGTTGTTGCGTATGGGTGTTGGAAGAGTATGGGGCTGAGGAGTCTTGGAGTAAACGATTCACATTTCAAATGCGTGACAGATTTAGGTGTGTTGGCTTCAGAAAGAGCGGTGAAGCTCTACTGGCAACAAGTGAGGGATTTCTGATATGCAATCATTCTAAAGAAGAGGACGTTGTATTTCTAAAATTTAAGTTGTTTGTAAATTCTCGAATTCCTGGTTTTCTTGATGATTTATGGTATAAGAACTTATTTGCAGATGCTTACCCAGAGAGTCTAGTTTTACTTGGGACAAAATTTTGTGATGCAGTCACTTGTGAGGTATCACCTGTTTTGCATCCAGAAGGGAGTGGAGCTTAAGGAAACCAACCTCACCTATATCGAGAGGCATGATTTCACTTATTTTATATGCTATTGCTAAGTTCTGTTATCAATACATATGAATGTCAAAGCTCAACCTCACATTTAAATAATCCCTGTTATCGTTGCTTTAGTAGGTGGCATAAAATTAAAAGTTTTACCGTCAATTTCTGTTTCTCATGAGTAATAGTTTTCCTAAATCTTGATATGCTTTTGTGTCTGACGTGAAAGGGATCTTGTCTTGCAGGGTTGAAGCCCAACTTGGAAAATAAAAAAGGAAGAATCGAAGGAAGGTGGGAGTAGACGTTGCGTAGTGAACTATTTCCCTGCTTTTAGTTTGTTTTACTTTGCTTAGATTTTATGTATATAGATGTCGTCAACAACTTTCTTTAAGTAAGGATTTATCTAACTTGTTTGCTTTTGAACTGTTGGAGAATTTAGGCTTGCAATGCCTTACATATGTTATGCTGAAATTTTATTTATCCATTATTGCTTATCTTGTGATGCCATTGATTGTTTCTAAAATCTGTTATGAGGTTTTTTCCACATTATAATATATGAATGTAGTTGTCAAGTGTACCTTTTTTGGGCCATCTTGTTGGATTTTGAACGAAGCATTCAGAAATCACTAATCAGGATATTTGGTAGGAAATCGTTGGTAGTTTTCCCTTTGGTTCGCATAATGCAAGCTAAGGTCTAGCTCAGCTTATTTGGCTCGTTTAGGCAATATGAGTTCTAAAGCTCTTTTCAAGAGCTCCATCTTCAGGTTAAGATCTAGATTGATAAAAGAAAGGGTATAAACCCATGTAAGGCCTAATAAATGAGTCATGTTAACTAGTCTTAAGGAGATTTTATTTTTTATTTTATTTTATTTTTTTAACGAAAATCTGTTTATCAACATGTTTGCTTGCCTAATGAGTAGGCTAACTTATTTGGTTACGAGTAAAATTTGTTGTTTAAGTTTGGCTTGTTTACTTAGAAAAGAAACACGCTTTGTTTATTTGCAGCCTTTTTGTAGGCTAAAGAATCAGTTCCACGTGCCTGCACAGTGGGGTTATCACCTCTAATTGGTCAAGAGACTACACAGTAGATATCTAGCATAAAATAAATTAGTTTAACTTGAATGAAATTCCAAAGTAGTGCCATCCACTCTTATTATTGGTTGTGTAACTTTGACTTGATGGGATGAGACTATAATAAAATATATGGCCTTCATACCACTTGTTACTGTGTTTAAGTTTCAACCATTACACTAATAATATTAGTTTACCTTCTTTTTTATGCAAATAAAATTCCATCTTATTTAAACAAATAAAAGTCAATTAGCTTTAGTGACCCTGTGAAGTTGGCTTTTAGAACTGCTAATACCTTTTTGTGCACCTTATTCAGACTTGATTCAAAAATTGTGTGGCATTTGATGAAAAAGCCATTAAACAAGGCAAAAATATCTTCATTTTTTGCTTTCTTTTTATCCCTTTTCAGTATGTCATAGGCATATTTTAAGTCCTGTAACTTGAATTAATAATGTGCTTGCTGGTGATGTGTTGTTACTTGATGGTATTCTGAGGTACTAGATCTATTGCTTTGATACACCTATTTAATTGATGGTGAAACCTCGCATTATCTTCTGAGTCCTAATGTCAAGTTTCTAGGACAAGCTTAACAGGCTGCTTGCCAAGACATTCCCCTATCCTAACGACGAATATTTTTGAAATCCTATAGTTTGTTTCCTCTTACTTTTCGATTGCTGCAATATATTCTTGTGACAAATTCTCATTTTAGAACCTTTTAAATTGAGGAAACATGGCTTACAACATAAAATTTGATTAGAACTGTTGAAATTGATGAAATTTAGCTCTGGTTGGATGACCTTGATCCAGACAAGAATTCAGAGTACATCTTTTTGTCATTTTACAAACTGCCTCAATGCTTCTTAAAACATATTGTTGTGAGCAAATGAGCTTGGTTAAGGTTCTATTAGGGTGCTTTATTGTTTTGGATCAAAGTTATGGTATTAACCAAGCAGAAAGTTATGGTATTAACCGGCATTGTCATTTTCTGTTGGAGATACTGCTGGATTTGCCTGTGCTGCATGTAATTGTTTCTCCTGAGAAAAATGATATTCCCCTGAAGTTTGTGCTTGACTACTTGCAATTTTCTTGATTCATAAACATGCTTATCATGTTGAAGCATGAATTCACTATTTTGCTGAAAATTCTGATGCTAAGAAACCTGTTTACTGATGAAATTGGTCGTAACCTTTGTTTTTTTTTTTTTAGTGTGTGGGGGTCTTAAAATTGGCTTGTATACATTGGTTGGTATATCTCTTGATGAAATTCTGTTCATCACTTAGATCTGTTTATTTAAAAAATGTGTCATCTATTGTTGATGCTGCTTTACTTTGGAACGTTTAGGTTACAGGCATCTAATATTTGTTTATTGCCCATACAGAAGAGTACTTAGTTATCCCAAAAAAAAATTTAAAAAAAATAAAAATTGTTTATTGCTAAATGTTATTGTTTGGATACTCTAAATTGTGCAAGTATTCTCAATATTCAATGGTTTTAGATTAAGATTGATTCTTTAGTTTGAAGGAAAGGAAATAAAAATTTATTCTTGTTTTTGGGTAACGAAAGTAAATTTGTTTTTTCGCATAGCTATAATCACCATCAAATTATGGGGATTGAATGAGTTCAAAGCAAAGCACAAGCTTAACATTGATAGAAGTTGATCGCCAGAGACTATGCCAATTCGACTGCCTCTTTAGGTTAACCTTTGATTGAGATCTGCTAGATTTTGTTTTATTTCCGTTTCCAATTGAAGATTGAGCGCGTATTTAAAAGTATATAAACACTGTCCTTCAATTTTTCAAATATCTGATAAAGTAGTAAATGGTACCTGCGATTTAGAGTATATAGGTTTATGTTAATTAATTGTAAGTTGATGTCATCTACATCGACATACTTAACTTAAAATATTGAATGTGAAACTGTTGGTTTAAGAGAAATCAATCTTGTTAATCGTTTTTAAACCCAATTCTGTATAAAATATATGTATTAATTATAATTATCAAACTTTTGAAATAATTGTTGTATGGTGATCATAATCACTATAAAATAAAATTAAAAAAATAAATAAAAATCAGCCGACTTTATTTAAATTGCTCGGGTGCAAGTAGATGACCATAGTCACTGTAAAATAACTTTTTAAAAATCAGTCCACAAATCATAATTTTTTTTTTTCTTTGATTTTGTTATTTGGTTACAAACACAAACAGTAATGGATAATGAAATCCTTATCCAAAAATAATGGACAATTTAAGAATGGGTGATGTCTGTGGATGGAAAAACATGCAAGAGAGAAAAAAGTCTGTGTCTAATGTTTCGTTGTAGGTGGAAAGGAACGAAGAGGGGAGGAGGGAAGTTAGGAAGGAAGGAAGAAATAAGTAGAGTTGAGACAAGGAGAGAAGAAAAAAGAGATGGATGAATTATCTTTCTTTCTTCACAAATTTTTATCCCTCCAAATATGAACGAAAGAAAAAAAAAATAATAAATAAATAAATAAAATAAAAAAGGCAAGCTATTACAAAAGTTTTCAAGTCATTTTTTTCTTTTGAAAGGTAAATTTCTTTATATAATTTTTTCTATTCCATCTAACAAAACAAAAAGAGAGAGTCTCTTTCTAATTTTAATGATTGGAGTATTACTTAAAGGAAAACAAATTCAAAAATAGAAGTTGAATCAAATGCAACTCTGGTTGGATGGCCTTGATCCAGAGAAGAACTGAGAGCATATCTTTTTGTTGTTTTACAAACCACCTCAATGCTGCTTAAAACATATATTGTTGTGAGCAAACTAGCTAGTTAAGGTTCTATTAGGTTGCTCTATTGTTTTGAATCAAAATTATGATATCAACCAAGCAGAAAGCTAAACCTAATCAGCATTATCATTTTCTTCTGTTAGATATTCTGCTGGATTTGCCTGTGCTGCTTGTAGTTGTTTCGCCTGAGAAATGTGTGATATTCTCTTTGAAGTGTATGGTTGACTACTTACAATTTTTTGATGTTTTGGAACTGCTATCTTTCATTGATAGACATACTTATCAACTATCATTTTTTTTTTTTTTTTTTTTCATCGTCATCGATTCATCATTATTATTTGTCACAAGGAATCTATGAGGCCGACAATGACCTGACATTTAACAAGGATTTCCATTTCATTTTTTTTTTTTTTTTGAATCTTTAATTTCTATTAGAAGAGAGAGAGCAATATGCTATTCCATTAGGTACAGCAGCACATGGAGTTGTAGATTATTAGCCTCTTTCTTTTGTCACATCCTAACTTCAAGTTTCTGGGCACATTCTATACCTTTGATACTTTCATATTCCATCCTAGGAAAAGATAACTCAAAACAAATGATGTCTCATGGCCAGGGTGTACTTGTCAGTCCATGTTCTTCCCTCCCACAACGTACTTTTGTACAAAGCGTTTCGTTTTGGTATACAATCTTGTTGTTTTTCGCTCAATCTCTTCTCATCATATCCATGATTCTTCACAGATATAAACAACCCATTATATATATATATATGTTTGAGCTACCATCTTCAATCTACACATAGCGAAACAAGAAGAAAGGGTCAGCAGAAACAATGTATTCTCAAGGTCTCTTTTTACACTTAATAATTCTGTTTCTTCACATTATGACCACAACTTCTGCTACTCTTCATCATGATTATTACAGAAAGACCTGCCCAAATGTCGAATCCATTGTCCGTTCCACGGTCCAAGAGAAGTTCCGACAGACTTTTGTGACAGCGCCAGCCACCCTAAGACTCTTCTTTCACGATTGTTTTGTTCAGGTTTGTCAACCTCTCTTCAGCTCTATCTAAACAACGTTAATTGCCTTCTATTTTCTGAATGCTTATGACAAAACTTAGTCATCTCTTATATGCACATATATTTGGTAGGGCTGTGATGCTTCGGTGATGCTAGCTTCGCCCAATAACACTGCAGAGAAGGATCATCAGGACAATATTTCCCTTGCTGGGGATGGGTTTGACACGGTGATTAAAGCCAAGGCTGCTGTTGAAAGAGAGCCCGGGTGCAAAAATCAGGTTTCGTGTGCTGATATTTTGGCCATGGCCACCAGAGATGTGATAGCTATGGTGATCAAACTTTTTCTCTCATGAACAATTTTTTTTTTTTTTTTTTTTCAAAAATGCTGTTTGCAACAAAATTATAACACATTTCTATCATTTGGGATCCCTTCATCAATGGAATTCAATTCTAACATCTAAATTTTGTGTGTGTGTGTGTGTGTGTTTTGCTGCAGACAGGAGGACCATCTTATGCTGTAGAGCTGGGAAGACTTGATGGGAGGATCTCTAACAAAGCCAGTGTGCAACACCATCTCCCTCACCCTGAATTCAGTTTAAACCAGCTCAATGCAATGTTTGCTTCACATGGTCTAACTCAAATAGACTTAATTGCCCTCTCAGGTACGAATTTTTTTCAGAGACCATTACACAGAAGACAGAACGGGGGTTATTTTTATTTCAAAGACCTTTCAAATTAGAAACCAATATGAACATGTTCATAGTTGGGATTGTTTAACAATTTTATATGTACTCATGTTCATGAAAATATGAATTACTGCAGGAGCGCACACAATTGGGTTTTCGCACTGCAGCAAATTCTCCACACGTATTCACAACTTCAACAGCAAGAGTAGGACTGACCCTACACTCAACCCAACATATGCAAGGCAGCTACAAGATATGTGTCCTATAAATGTAGACCCCAGAATCGCCATTCCCATGGACCCGAACACACCTCAAACATTCGATAACATGTACTACAAAAACCTTCAGAAAGGAAGGGGGCTGTTCACCTCGGATCAATCCTTATTTACTGACAAGAGGTCAAGAAATTTTGTCAATCTGTTTGCATCAAACAAGACAGCATTTGAAAAGGTTTTCGTGGCTGCCATTACAAAGCTTGGACGGGTTGGTGTTAAAACTGGAAGCCAGGGTGAAATCCGAAGTGATTGCACTGTGTTGAACTAGAAGAAAGAAATTTAATTTACATCAATTCATTTTGAGCATGCTGTTACGCTTGTCCCTTATATTTTTTTAATTACAGATGCAGTTCTATCATCTGCAAAAGCCTACTAGTTCTATAAAATAAAATCCATACACTATTCAAGTTCTTGGGGAAAAAGGAGAAATTAGGCATAATCATTCATATGAAACTGCTTCTCTAAAGAAAATAAAAAAGAACTGTCTACATTTTGTCTGGGTAATGCTATTTTGTTTCAGATAAAACTGATATATCCTCTGCACTTGGAACAGGCAATAAAATAAAAAAAACTGAAGATTGAAAAAGTAGCACGAGGAATATCACTAATCTAACCGTCTGGAAGATTAAAATTTTACATAGCCTTAATAATTCTTAATTACGGAATACTATTGGATAACCACAGGGTCCCACACCTTTTTGAAGCCCTGGCTCAAACTGTATAATGCTGTTGGATTGTATCAATGTCTAGTCCTTTCAGCTTCACAACTGATTCAACATGCCCCTTCAGCGTATGCAACTCCCGGAGCCTGAAACAAGTCAATCCATCACCGATAAGAACTTGAAGATTAATCTTGAAGCTGTATATTTCCTGATTTTGTTGGATGCTTCACAATGGAGAAGAACTTGTCTACAGAAGCAATTACTGAGCACCCAACTTACAGCAGAGATTGGGGGCCAAAGTTTCCACCAAATATTGTGGTAAAGATGGGGATATTCTGGTCATTTTCAACAATTTCAGTGTCCCTTCTTATTTTTGACCTCTTTTATCTGTGCGCTTTGTTTTTTACTTCATTCAACCAGAAGAAATCGCTAGTATAGTTGTAGACAACTCCAATAGTTGGAACAAAATTTTGTGAAATTGAACCTAGATGCTTAAAAACTGAAACGTCGTGATTTTTTGGTAAGAGTAAATCTAAACAAGGCATATCATTGTTCTGCGTCATAACCATGTGCCTGCTCTCATTGGCAAAAAAACCTGGCATCGCTTAAAGGATCTAAGGCTTAAATGACAGTAGCTTGATTAAAGAAGGTAACTTTTCACTAGCATACTTCAATGACCAGGCATGAGTCTTCCAAAGAGTTAATGTTAAAAGCTAAAACAAATAGCTTACCTTGCAACTTCAGCCCGTCTCTTTGCTTGCTCTGCAATCTCTGAAAGCTCCCTATAACTGTTCTTTTCAGAGAAAATATTACTGGCTTCAGGTGGTTGAAGGCCATGTAGAGTCCTCTGTGCAGCAGCCCATTGTGCTTCTCTCTCTTCTTTGCCGTAGTTGCTCTTAGTAGTAAAGGCAGTCTGTTGTAAGAGCAAAACAAAAATAATGGAGTCAAAACCCACCTAAAGAACCAACCATTTCTAAATACTGAAATGCCCGAACTTTTAAAGAATTATCACAATAGAAAACCTACCTTGTTCTCCAAAAGATTATCCCAAGCCTTCCCACTTAAAACATAACGGATGACAAATTTGAGGATGTCAAGTGGAATATATGTAACCACGCTGTAAAGCCAAATGACACCAGCCCACCCCCAACCACATCCCTCTATTTTTGCAAAACCCCAGTTGGCATAAACAGCTATAACTGTGGCAACCTGTAAATTAAACAATGCTTTTACATGTTTCATTAAAGTAAGTTATCCATTAGTTTTCCAAATGTAATAGGAAAAATTGTCATCCAGTTTGCAGAATGAAAATCACCTACAGGAAAAATAGTACTACAGAGCAATACAACATTTAATGAAGATCAAATAAGTTCATTGTAATTTAAGATAGTATTTCATTTAGTTTATTATGGCATCTAAATGAGTCTATTTCTTTTACTTTACCATGAAAACTATACACCGGTAGCTACCAACACCTGTGTATTATTCTATGTAATAATACTCCAAAAAAGGAAATAACCACTGTTTTTGTAGTACTGTGGTCAACTCACTCTCATTTGAGAAAGCTACCAGTGTATAGTTCTCATGGCGTGTGATACGAATTTAAGTTGAAAATATTACAACATTGACCTCATAAAGCTTGTATAAAATCTGTAAAAAATCCCTCATAATTATTAGAAATGTATCCTTTGAAAATTGAAACTGCTGCTTCTAGAATTATAATGTCACACGACTAATGAATTCTTTGAAACAACACGTTTAACAGTTCCATATTATCATGCTGTTCACCACCAAGTTTCCTGGTCATTCAGGGAGAGTCATACACCTTTGTATTATTCCCTTCAAACCAGAAGTATTCACTTGCATAATTCCATCGGAAAGTTACTAATGTTACCCCTAATTTCAGACTTTTTCTGGACAACACCTACATGATTGTGTATCGTTGAATCCAAGAAAGAATAGTATGGTTTGAAAAGGAAAATTTAGGCCTAAAACAAACGCCCATCTAGAATTGCTAATTACAACATTGGTGTATTAACTTGAACTACAGAGATTAGCAGGTTATAAAAAATCTTACCAGTTGAGCTATTATAAAAGCAGTGAGTAACAGTAGTCCAGGGCGTTCTGCAAAGGACCAGCTGCGAGATCTTGTAACAAATATGAGTGCCTGACTCACAATACTCACTTGCAAGTACAAGGCTGCCATCATTTCAGGAGGGTTATTTCTCAACGATCTCACATGAAATGTGTCCTGCATTGAACAAATAAATAAAACAATCATTAGCATTTTTGTGATGTTAAGATTATCAGGACAAACCAAATTACATATTTTGTACCGAGAAAAAGTCGGTATCTTTCATAACCCAGAAGAACAATACTGTCGCTAGTGCCATGTAGCCTCCAAGCACAATGCCAGTTGCAAAAATCTCTTTCAGTTTCCAGCTGTCTGGCATTGGAGATGGCTTCACTCGATCTTTTGAGATTGTCATAATTGTTCCTATGTGTATATGACAGATATAGTCAGGATCATAACAAAAACCAACACTAAACTGAGAAAGAACCATTGTATTGCATATGAATTGAGAGAGTATTATATTAAGTGATGTAGCTCTTTGGGCTCTTTGTGCCATTGATGTAGGCCCTAATGGCTGAACCGCTTGATTTATTTATTGCTTCCGTTTTATGCTTTACAAGATCTAATCTCACCGTCATTTAGGATGGCAATAATTAGAACCATGAAAGGAGCAAAGTCAAACTTCCAAATCAGAGCAATAAGCATGAAGCCGAACTGCAGAATTGAGAACAAAGAATAAAATTGAGTTTTATAACAATACTAAACCATTTTTTGAATAAACATCTCCAAAGAATTTTCAGTACTCACCACAATACGGATGGTGATTGAAACAGCATAGATCTGAAAAGTAGAAGGTAAAAGCCAAAAACACAGAAAGTTAGCTCAGACATGTTTTAAGACATAAAAACTTGATCACTGAAAAGGAAGGAGGTAACTCACTGTGTAGTTCTTCATCCTTTGGAAAATAGCCCTGCTAGTCAGCACTGCACTTATTATAACACTCAGTCCAGGTTCAGTGAGGACAATGTCTGAAGCACCTCTAGCAGCATCAGTAGCATCAGCAACAGCAATGCCAATATCTGCCTTCTTTAAAGCAGGGGCGTCATTGACACCATCTCCCGTCATTCCACAAATGTGCTTCCTCTCTTGCAACCTCTTTACAATTTCATATTTATGCTCTATCATATACAGAGCAGCCCATTAAATTATTGAAGCAAATTCCAAATTCCAAAAAATTACGAAATTTTTAATGATCGATGGCATGCATGAAAGCAATACATGTTAGAGAATAGGGACGAGGGATAATCTTATGTCATTATTACTGTTGATTTGTTCTGTATGATCCAAGTTTTTTGAAGAAAATTGAGCAAAATACAAAAATTTAATTAATGTTTGGGATATTTGAGGATTTCAAATTTTAGGATCATAGAGTGTACTATTTAATCAAGAAAGTTGAAAGTGTTTCCAGTTATACAATATGGCAAACAAAAAAGTACCTGGAAATACTCCAGCAAATCCATCAGCCTTTTCGATCAACTCATCTACAGGGAGGGCTGCAATGGATGAATCCTTATCTTGACCAAGCAGTGTAGAAGAGGGGTACATATTTGTTCCCATTCCAAGCCTGCGTCCAGTTTCCTTGCCAATGGCAAGCTGATCCCCTATGCATTGAGGAATAATTAAAAACAATTAGAGATGAAGAATAAGTGAGGAATAAGATTAAAATTAAATACTTTAAGGGGAGTAATATACAGAATTATTACCAGTAATCATCTTCACATTCACACCTAGATTAAGAGCTCTTCTAATGGTTTCTGCACTATCATGCCTGGGTGGATCGAATAAAGGCAATAAACCAACAAGCTGCCATGGAGCCCCTGGACTTTCCTTTGTTTTCTCAGGAATTGTCTGCAAATCAATCACGAAAGCAACAATAAGAACCAAAATATTCCATTAAATCAACAAGACAAAAATGCACCGAAGTGACAACTGCATACCTGTCTAGCAACAGCCAAAGATCTAAGTCCACGTTCAGCAAACTTTTCAATTACCGAATGAACCTTCTTTTTAACATCCTCCTTGCAGTTGCAAAGGGCTAATATCTATTTGTAAAGGATGAGAAAGACAAAATTCACCACTTATTTTTTTGAAAGTTTGAAGATCTACTTCTCAAAATACGAAAAATAAGGTACCTGCTCAGGGGCACCTTTGCTGGCTCGATGCCAATTTCCATCAGAATCAATGTAGGTTAGAGCAGTCCTCTTATCCACGGGATTGAATGGAAGAAAGTGAATCTCTCTGATACCAGCTCGTGCCTGTCGAAGGTAATAATAAAAGAAAAAAAATTAGTTGGAACCATTTTTTTTTTACTATTTATTGATTCTTGTAACAAATTTAAAGCATGGATAACATAAAATAAAAATCATATAAAATAATATACTCCAGATATTTTTACCTCCTTTGGGTCTGCAAGCATCCCTACAATGGCAGCATCAATGGCATCTTGATTTTCAGTTCTTGAAGCTCTTGCTGCAAGCAGTATCACATGCTCTCTCTCCACACCTTTTGCAAATACTTCGATCAGACTTCTGTCAACTGTTAGCTTGTTCAGGGTTAGTGTCCCAGTCTTGTCACTGCAGAGAACATCCATGCCTGCCATTTCCTCAATGGCAGTCATTCTCTTGGTGATTGCACCCTGCTGAGAGAGCCTGTGGGAACCAATGGCCATGGTAACAGATAAAACAGTAGGCATGGCAATCGGAATTCCACCAATCAAAAGGACCAGTAAATTGTCAATTCCATCCCTGTACTTGCGGTGCTGTATTGCATACATGACCAAGAGCTCAATAATTATTCCAACAGCAATTGAGCAAATGCAGAAGTTACCAATTGAAGTAAGAACTTTCTGAAAGTGCCCCACTTGGTTGGTGCTATCCACTAAATGGGCAGCCTTACCAAAGAAAGTATGAACACCTGTTGCAATAACAACTGCTTCAATTTCGCCCTGTTTACAAGTTGAACCAGAGAATACTTCATCTGAGGGGTGCTTAGTGACAGGAAGGGATTCTCCAGTTAATGCAGATTGATCGACCTTCAGGGGATCACCATCAAGAAGGCGAGCATCAGCTGGGATTATATCTCCCAACTTAATGCTTATGATGTCCCCTGGAACTAGTATGGCTGCATCTTGCTCACTCCATCTACCATCTCTAAGAACCTATATTCCCTTACCAGGATATATTAACAAAGATTAGAAGAATTATACGCAATCACTTATAGCAATTTTGAGTAGTTTTTACCTTAGTTTTTGGAGCAAGGCCAGCCATAAGGGCTGCTGCTGCATTACCAGCATTGTTTTCTTCAACAAAACTGATTGTGGAGTTGATCAACAACAAGGCAATAATTCCTACGAAATCCTGCCAATCTGGAGGCTCCCCGCCACCATTTGCGAGCACAATAGCCATTATAGCAGCAGCTTCCATGACCCATGATAACGGGTTCCACATAAAGCCCAGAAACTTGAGAAACTTGCTCTCCTATTTACGAAGTTTTATATCATCATATGCTGTGATATTAATTCCCAAAACGACAACGAAAAAAAAAAAAAGAGCAGTGTGCACAATTTAAACTGTCAATATTCTAAATCAGACCTTTTTTTCCTCTAGTTTGTTTGGTCCAAAAATTTGGAGCCGGTTCGCTCCTTCTTCTGACGATAAACCTTCCCTTGTACATTTTAACTGCTCAAACACTTCCTCTATAGGAATCTTTTCCTGTAAATCAGAAATCATGATCAGTTTCTCAAAACCATACACGCAATACACCATCACAACCAACTATCTAAAAAATCTTAGTACCTTCTTGTTATAAAATACATGAAAAAATTACAACAGTGACCATTGGTACATGTAACAACTGAAACTGAATATTTAGCTTACGGGCAACCAAAAGCCAGAAAATATATAAAAACCCCAGAAAAAACATCCACTTCAATTGTTCTAATAACATGCTTTAAGTGCAATATCAGGAATCATTATATCTACTTGGAAGATACTCAGCTCACATAACTTATAATTTTCTCAAGTTGGGAATCTTCCTCTTAATCTGTTTTTTTTTCTTGCCCCAAATAAATGATAGCCACTCTTATGGTCTTACATACCGTCTGTTGCTAGATGAAGATTGTATTATGCATTAGTTGTTTCACCAATTTCGGAAGCATAGAAGTACAGATAGTAAAATATAAATAAACCAAAGTTAAATTATGTATGTATTAGTTGCATTTATCACCTAAAACATTGAGAGGGATATAGGATCATAATGTAATCCTCAATATAGGACAGCAAAACAAATGAGTTGCTTTTAAGATTGCAAGAGCAATAACAGGCAATTCCATAGAGAACTAAGAAAAAATAGCAGATTATAAAGTAATTGTTAGTACGTTCTTCATGGAACCACGATTATCAAACTTGCATGAAAGCTTTTTTCCAGACCCAAAGAATCCTTTTGGTTAAAAAGTTGATGTATAAATATTTCCATCAATGTTGAAAATACATAGAAGGATATCATACTGCCCAAGCCTGAGGTCCATTCATCAATGAGGGCCTGAACAATCGATGAAAGTGAGAAAGGATCTGACACATAAATTTGTTAGCCCCTTTACATTATATAAAACCCAATACAAAAAATTGTTACAACAAACTAACAAAGTGTTTTTTTCATCCTTGTTCATTTAATTATTTTGATGGAGAGTGAGTACATATAACATGACACAAGAATTCTCTATCAATTACACAAATATTTCATATCAGAACATTAATTTCAGAATTTTGCATATTTTTTCCCTTTCTTTTTTTCAAGCAATAGATTAACGATGGAAAGACTCGAAATGCATAAAGGGCAAATTTAAACAGTTCGGATAAATTGATAATGATATGGCGTATAGGAGGAACCTAATCCAGGTGGGTGCGAGAGAGTTATATTTGAAAGTGCAAGGCATTTTTGTTTCTAAGAGATCTGAGTTTGTGACGAATCCTAAGATATTTTGTCATCAGCGCCCCATCTCTTCATCTGACAAACAAAATAGACGATGATAATGCCAGATTAAACTGAATGAGGCATAGAGGAGAGTAATTTGTAGGGTCAGCAACGAAATGAAAATATGGAAAAGAATAGATCAATCAACTAGGTTAGGGTTTGTTTGCAAGGAGGTCTTACAGAGGAAACAGCATTGAGCCGATTGAGAGAGGGTGCGTCACTTGGATGGGGAGATGAGGGGCCTTTTTGTCATTTCATTTTCCTGAAAATAGTTTTTTTTTTTTTTTTCCTGAAAATAGTTTTGGGAGTGTTCGTTTTCGAATTGCTAATAACACTAACCAAATCAGATTTTTCTGTACTACCCTCACGTTCGTTCGTGTCCCTCACGGGAATTGTTTTACACTCTCTTTTTCTCCATTAAATTGTTGTTTACTTCGTAGCAATGATTCTCGTGCTCACTCACGTCTCGTTGAAGAACACAGAGAGAGCGATAGAACACTTGTTTCTCGTGACAGAAGCGTGGCTATCACGCTCCCGAATAATAAAGCCAATTTCAGCCCCAAGCAAAAGCACCTAGGCGTCAGAAATACGCCGCCGATGCAACAGAATCATATAGTCAACAGAGAATATAGAACATTATACTCTTAATATGGGATAAAATAAGTTACATAAAGCGAGAGCGGAAGGGTGGTCAAATTATATGATAATTTGACGAAATTATATTATAATTTGTGCATAACGCCTGTCGAGAAGAATTGTGTAATTTAAAGTAATATTGAACATGTACAATATTAATTGATTCAATTTTTCTATTGAGAAAGATTATATGGCTTAAGTAAACACTCAAATATGAATATAATTAAATATATATTATATATATTGACATTGAAGACACAGAGTGTTAACTGATTCAATTTTTCTGATATACCTTTTCTGCAAAATTTTGTTGATGAAATTAAAATCCTTCATAAAAGTTTCAACTTCAGATTCGAATATTTGAAATGATGCATGAATTGATAAAACGTACAGGTCTGAAATTCACTATATATTAATTAAATATATTTACATATATATATATATATGATCGAGAAGCAAGTAACCTAATGGTATCAAATGGCATCAAGTTCTTAGTCCTTATTTTGAAAGTGAGGTCAGAGTTCAACCCTTAGTGGAGTGGAGACATATGTGAATATCCAGTGGAGTGGAGACATATGTGAATATCCATCACCTAAGAAAATATATATATATATCCATCTTTTGGGGTTTCAAATGAAAATGAAAAAGGGGTTTCAAATGAAAATGAAAAATCATAACGGAACCAATAGAGATTTCCTTGCCGTAAAGTAAAAACCTAACAACATTTGAAACCTGTACAGCATTGATCAGAAAAAATTAAAAAAATTAAAAAAACCTATATAGAAGCCAATATTTATTGCCAAAAATGAAACAAAGATGAACATGTATATATCTATATAAACATATGTATAAATAGAGAGAGAAAGAGAGGAAGAAAATATACCAGATCGACGGCCTCGTTTTTAATCTCCTCGAGACTTAAAGCCTTGTTGCTACTACCCATACTGGAAGGAGAGAGAGACTTGTAGCTCTGAGGAGCAAAAAAAAAAAAGAGAGAGAGAGCTGTGAAGAAATGATGAGTGAGATATAGGAAACTTAAGTATAAGCAGATAAAACCCCAGAGAAATTCATCATATTACCCTAACAACTACTGCTGCTGCAACAATGTAGAGAGAGAAAGAGACACACGGTAGTTGTAATGGTGTCGCAAGAGTGCGCTGTTGATGGACTCTACGATTGCTCCATCTTGCGGAAATAAAGACTTCTTATTCCCCCGAAGCGTGCATGTATCTCTATCTATAAATATGTACCATATCTATATATATATATATATATATATATAACCGTAGACGAGTAATAATAATAATAATAAAGAAATAAAAACCACTCACGCAGCCTTAGCGCTCCATTGTGGGACCCAGACGGTTCGCAATTTATTTTCTTTGACCGTATTCCATTTATAGTTTTTTAATATATATACATTCAGTTTTTTTATTTATTTTTAATCTCAATAATATGTGGCCATTAATGAGTCCTGTTTTTTATTTTTTCTTTTTGCTGGGGGAACAAGGTCTAAGTGGGTTGGCCATGCTAGCTTACGTTGATAAATTAGTGTTAGATTTAGGTTAGTTGCATTAGGACACGTGTAGCAAGATAATGTATGGGTTGGCCTCATGTTATTCAAAACCTAAATTCAAGCAAATCAAAGTTACAAAATTTTCAACTCAAATATAACAACACCATTTATTGAAATTTTAAATCTAAATTGAATTTGAGTTACGATATGTTTGAGTATTTTGGATTTGAAATTGAATCAAATTTAATTTAAATTTAAACTGATTTTTTTTTTAATTTCAATATCAAGGCTACAATTTAATACTTCCAAACACAATATTAATACATTTAAATTGCATCACATGACACTTGTATTATCAATTACCTTTAATTTTGGTCAAAATATTAATAGATTGCCAAAAAAAAAAAAAAAAGGTCAGAAGGGTAAAAACATTAAATCTTCATAAATAATTTCTTAAACAAGTTTGTAAGGAATATTAGAGTATAGCTCAAGCCTAACCCATAAAATTGTCCACCTCTAATCCTACCTTCAATCCTAGCTACTCAACTCGAGTCTAATCAATTATTCTATTTTTAAATTCAAGTTGAGATTTCGAGTTAGTTCGAATTACCCATATGACTAATCTAATCTCCACATTAAAATTTTACTATAATTTGGAGTTAGTTTCAAATTAAATTACTCCTAAACACAAAAAGTTATAAAAACTTATTGCAAATTACTTATAAAATACAAATAATTTTTTTAAAAAATTAATTCTCCAAAGTGTTAAATACAATAGATTAATATTTAAACAAATAAAATTGAAAATAAAAAAAGGTGATCATGATTTGAATATACTAAGATGAGGCACACTTTCTTCTTTTTTCTTTTTTCTTTTTTTTTTTTAACAAAAACAACTCTATCATGAAATATCCTCACCAAAATTGTTAAAATGTTGTTGCTCATCAGAATAATAAAATTTTGTGTATATATTATGTAAAGGTGGCAAATGTGCGGGTTGGTTTAGGTTTGGGTATGGTCAGATACGGGCGGGTTGAATAAAGGTCGTGATTCATATTTAACCCGCTTGTAATGGGTTAAATATGGGTTGGGTCAAAATGAGACAGGTCAACCCATCATGACCCACCAACCCGTTTTAGGAAAAATAAATGTTATTATTTTGGATAATCTCATTATTATAGTTTTTTATTTCAGATGGATAAAAACTTGTAAAAATATGTACCGATAATTGTAAATTCTCCAATTTATTTTAAAAATTCTTTAAATTTATATTATTTTATTTATGATTATACATGCATGAAGGTAAGATATATATGTGTGTGTATGTGTGTAATGATAGGGGAATCGAAAAAGAATCTCTCAATTAATATCGAATTTGACGTGATTGGCCACAACAGCTTCTTTCTCATTTTTGTCGTTATATTTATTACATACCCATCATTTTCTCTTTCGAAAATTTATCAATCTCATTCTCAAAAGAATCTATCATCTGTTCTTCTATTGTCACCATATATCAATTCATAAGTTGTTATTACACCTGTAAATATTTTATCTCTTTATTATTTTTCTATTGTTTTGTTTCTTTCAGGAAGACCAAGTTAATAAGCCACCATGACAGATGAATAGACCTATTTTGATGAATTTTAAAGATTTGGGCTTATGTGTGGAATAGAGATGATGATGGCCGGTTATAACGACTCGAACCCGGAGGTCCGAACCGTTAGCTGGATCCTTATTCGAACCCGAGGTCATCTACGTCAAACCCATCATTTCTAGAGGTGTGACGACACTTATAAGATCATAACTAGACTTTCACATTGGCTCAAATCAAATCCCCAAGGATCAAGAGTGGAGAAACAAGTGAGGAAGAGCAAAGCAACCCAAACAAGTGCACTTCGGTCGACCAAAGTGGAGCTTCGGTCGGCCGAAGCAGACCTTCAAGAAACGGTCGATCGATACAAGAGATCCCGAGAGTGTGAAGATGGTTCGGTCGAACGAACCCCATTTTGGTCGACCGAAACAGGAGATCCCGAGAGCCAACAGTAGGTTCGGTCGACCGATGCACCATTTCGGTCGACCGTAATGGCTTCTTCGAGCCCTGAAGCTGGAACTGACATGCTGCACTTTAGAAATGAAAGGAAAACTAAGATGGGGACTTTAGAATGATTCAAACGCGGGCTAAACCATAAAAAATGAGACATTCCACGATCATAAACATGAGTATTATCGCATAATCAACTTACAACATCTTTTTAAGTCATTACATGAAGTTATACACCGAATAGCCAAAATACAAAACAACAAAATGATCTTCTAACAACTTTCAAGCCTGCGGTGGATTGTCATCCGCCAATTCTTTTCCATGACCTGAAAATGTTAAGTATAATGGGGTGAGCGAATCGCTCAGTAGGTTGCACCTAAAACACGCTTCTTGTGTCCCCGTGAACCTAACCAAAGAATAGAACAATAGAATTAGGGGTCATGCTAAGTCGGGAAAGCTCACATAACAGTTAATCTCAATATAAACAATGAAATGTTATGGAATGCAATGTATGCCAATGTCACTCCCCATTTTCAACATTCAAAACCATCACTTTCAAATAGTTAATATAACCCGCCATTTGGTGACCCTGCAGCGACACGAGAGAAGGATTGGCTAATGTCCCTGACCCTTGGTACCCCCGCGGCGTCATTTTGGGCCCAGCTAACTCAATCACGCTAGGGCAATCTCCCTAGTTCCCTTTAGGCTATATTAACCCTCCGGACCTTTGGTACCCCCGCGGGGACCGGGTTTTCATAAAACCAATTCATTAAAACATTTCCCCAAAATTTCCTTTTTCATTTCAAAACGATTTCTCCCATTTATGCCCAATGCTAGTGCATAGATGCATCAATGCCATGTCCATGTTTATTATTTCATAATTAGCTCAAGTTTAACTAACAAAGCATGGTTCACAAGAATTGCTAAGGAATCTACAACATGCCTTCATATAATAAAAATCTAACATTTTAGGCATACGAAAATTAACACATAGGCATGCTCTTCACATAGATCATTTAATACATATAGTCACACAAGTAACATTCATGTATACACAACAACCAAACAATTTGCTGAGTTCTATACAATTTAGTCATGCTAAGCAACAATTCATGAAGAATTAACTCACTAAAGCACAAGATTGCATGGATTAAGAACCCCCTACCTCTTAGAATGCGAAAACCCTCAAAATGGGTTCAAATTTCAAAAATCAAAGGGAGACCCAAAGTTGAAATTGTTGGTACTCACACGTAGAACTCGTCGTGCTCTCCGTTTTGCCTCAAACGACACTAAAAAATTCCAAGTATTGAAGATGGAATCTAGACTTGAAGTTTGCTTGTGAGAATGGAAGAAAAATTGCAAAGAAAAGAGAAGAGAGAGAGAGACTTACGGGAGAAAGTGAGATTTGAGACCAAAATGTGGTCTCTAGATCACATATGTGACACCATTATTTTTTTATTTTCCATTTTTCTTTTGATTCAATTTCTACACCACAAATACCCATATGTACACATTTAATTTGCAACTACTTAAAACATAATAAA